AGACTAATCCGCAACCAAGCGTCCCCAAATAGATGCCATGAGGCACGCTGGCTAATACGTTACAATGGACACGGATTAACGGGCAATTTTGCCAACAATCGATTTTTCGTTATCAGATCTCACAAAACATGGATTGTGACCACACCTTGTGTTAGAAGTAATTTACTATTTACATGATGAAGATTATCCACCTTTTGTCACCAGGGACCGTCTCTTCTTACAAAGTAAGGGAGAGAAAGTACAATTATGTAAATTCATCTTTACATCAATTTAAATAAATATATCACAATTGAGCGAGTGGATAGAATTGTCTGTCAATTCTCCATTCTTTTTTGCTTCGCCCACTTTTGAAACTTTTACAGTTACTAGTTTATTGGAGACTGTCATAACAGTCGCGACGGGCTGAGATGTTTCAAAGAGTTTACAGCACTGATTGGCGTTATTACAGGATGATGAGTGAGATATGCTAGCTTTTGCACTATAATTATCAGCGTCAAATACCCTACGGCATCGCACATGTTCATAACTCTCAGAGCCTGTTTTTTTTATACTCTGAGTTTTTACTCGTTGGCAGCGAAAGTTGTGCCGAATTAATTTTAGGGTTTGGGTACGGGGTTCGTCAAGGGTTGTTATAATAATAATAATGCCAAACGAATTTTTACTTAATAATTAAGATTGAATGAATTTTAGTTTTACTCCCGCCTCAGACTTAGAGAAACGGGCTTAGGTCTCACACTTCACGAAAATAGATCCGGATACTCGTCAAAACTTGCTGTGTCCACGCAAACATCCTATGATTCGCCATTGCCCAGCACCTCCAAAATAAAGGATACATTTAACAAATTAGGGCCGCTTAATGTTGTACGATCTGTTCAGAATCATTTCGTTGTGACAATCATAAGTTCAGATTTAAATTACTACACGAGTAAATAATACCGAAGGCTATCGTACCTCTGTGATGAAAACGTATCAAAATTTCGCAAAATGGAATTTAAACCGCTCCCCCATTAGGTAGCTTTCGATTGCTCTTAGGTCAGAGTATAGCTTGTCAATCTCTACCCGAAAGTTGTTAGTAAGGCATGCTAGTAAGGTATGTTGCACTCTGCCATATTGCCATAGCTTTCTGCCCCTTCCCACCCTCTCGCCCCTCTTCATCCTTCCTCTCCTCCCCTCTTCCTTCCTCCTCCATCACCTTCCCCTCTCGGCCCCTTTCCATTCCCCCTCCCATCGTCGACTCTCTCGTTTCTCAC